CCTCCTTGGGACTCCTGTCATCTGCCCATATCATGGGTAATGGAAATTTAATACTAAGCAAGGGAAGACAGATAGCAGAGAAAATATAGAGTATTTTTCTATCATTTAACTTTCAGAAAGCTGGCAAAATTACAGTGTTTAGGGATGTGTACTTCAGTGGTAAAACTATAAGGCAAATAAAGAGAAAGTCTATGAACACGCAAGGAGTAGTTAACATGCAAAGAAAGAAAGGGGCAGCGATTGGAGGCGGTGCAGCCACTCTGTAATCTTTGAACTGAGTGATGGATACCAGTGTTAGAAATGATTTCTTGGGCAACCCCTTTGGGTCCTCTCCTGCTGTGGGCACTTTTCTGTCCTCTCAATAAATTCTGCTTTCTAAAAAAGAAAAATAAAAAGAAAGGATTCCTTGAGTTGTTTGTCTTTGTTTTATGTACTTTTCTAGATAGTTGATCTAGCTAATAAAAAACCCAGTAAGCACATGGACCATAATAATCGAATAAATTTTGCAGGAAAACATAGCAATGAAAATAACACATTATACTTTTTTTTTTTTAGTTGGAGTCTCACTCTGTTGTCCAGAATGGAGTGCAGTGGCATGCTCCCAGCCACTGCAGCCTCGACCTACTGGGTTCTGGTGATCCTTCCGCCTCAGCCTTCCAAGTAGCTGGAACTATAGACGCGTGCTACCACGCTCAGCTAATTTTTGATTTATCGTAGAGATGAGTTCCCGCCAAGTTGCCCGGGTGGGTCTTGAATCCACGGGCTCAGGCAATCCACTCATCTCAGCCTCCCAAAGTGCTGGGATTACAGGCTGAGCCACCGAGCCCACACCACATTATACTTTTAAAAAATGCTTCTCTGTTTCCTGCTGGAGTGCAGTCCCATGAGCTACTGAGCCTCTACAGGTGTGCACTACCACACCCAGCTAATTTTTTTGATTTATTGTAGATAAGAGGTCTTGCTAAGATGCCCAGGTTGGTCTGGAATCCCTGGGCTCAAACAATCCTCTTGCCTCCACCTCCCAAAGTGCTGGGATTGCAGGCATAAGCCACCACGCCCAGCCTCATTAAACTTTTTTTAATGTAGGGGAATAAATTGAGAGTAGAGATAGGAGGAAGATAAATCAATAAATAAAGCAAGAGGAATCTTGCAACAGATTATTGATGTTTAAATTAGGGAGTGGAGGCTTGCTCTAAACACACTACTTTGGGAGACCGACATTGGGAGGATTGCTTGGGCCCAAGAGTTTGAGAGTAGCCTGGGCAACATAGTGAAACTTCGTCTCTACAAAAAAAAAAAAAAAATTAGGCAGGTGAGGCGGCATGTGCCTGTAGTCCCAGCTACTTGGGAGGCTGAAGTGGAAGGATGATCTGACTCCTGCAGGATGAGGCTGTGGTGAGCAGTGACTGCGTCACTGCATTCCAACCTGGGTGACAGAGTGAGACCCCAACTCAAAAAAAAAAAAATTTTAAGGAGTTGATGATTATGAATAACAGCCTCTGTGCCTAAGGTCAAAAATTGCACAAAAGAAAAGTTTTAAATATGAAATGTAAAAATTATCTTTAAGTATGTGGACATGATACAAAATTCAAAAGCTGCAAAGGGCTTAGGAGGAAAAGAGGTCTTTCCCTGGACCATTTGTCTCCCAGGTCCCCTGCTGAAGGTGTCATCCACTCCAAATTTCTTGTGTGTCCTTCACTGGAGCCTTCTCAGTAGGACTGAGTATGCATTAAATGAGTGAGTCACCGAAGTCTGGTGCTGGGGAAGTGTGGACAGAAATGGGAGGGAAGCCAAGCTGAAGTGAGGAGGACCCACGTGGGGAGGGGGCCTGTTGGGGCTCCCGTCGGGGCCGGCCACCGGGGTATCCAAGTCTGAACCAGGCTCCTCAGTTCATGGGAAGAGTTTTCTTGAGAGCAGAGGGCAGGCATAGATTCCTCTGTTAGTCCGTGGGGCTGTCCTCAGAGGCTCCCGGATGCTAATGCTGACATCCAGCATCTTGGTTCCTACACCTGGGCTGGTCTTTCTGCAGCAGGTTGGAGCACATCAGAGCCAAGGGCAGGACCATCAACTCCTACACAGACTACTTTCATAGAGGAAGGACATTGGGAAATTTATGGTCTTATGGAAAGTCACTGTCATGGGGATGGGCGGGATCTTTGCTCAATCTCTGCCTCTGTGCCCATTCTGTGGGGGGGTCATTCCACCACTGAATCTAGACAGCAGGGTCCTGGGTGGGTTGGGCATCCCTGGGCAGTTGTGTGAGGTTCAAGACTCAGGGATCTGGCCCCATGTTTTCCCCCATCAGCTGGGGGCTTTGCTCAGCCCACTACCCTCTCTGGCATTCCCCGATAGTCACCGTGGGTCAGACACCAGATTCCCCACCTCCAGGGCTCCTCCTCTGAAGCCCTGACCTGAAGATGACAATGGTGTGGACCTGCCTCCCTCCCTTGACTTTGAGTTCCCAGAGGGCAGGTCCTAATGTCACCCAAGAGGCTTAACAGAGGGAGTAGTAGTAGGGATTTAAATCGGACTTTTCCGGGATCATTTCCTGACTTTGCTGTTTACTAGCTGAGCAAACATCCAAAGTTTACTTAATCTTAGCATTTTAATTTTCTCTTTCCTAAATTGAGAATAAAAGCACCTGCCTCATAGGGTTGTGTAGACTAAAGGGAAATGTAGATACAACAGGTATCTTGATTCTGGGCAGATCAAAACACTCAGTGGAAGGGGATAGAAGTTAGAATTGGCTGTCAGAGCAAGTTGGTAAAAGGACTGAGTGTGTGAACAGGGGCTATCCTCCTTCTAGAGTTTGAAACTCCATCATTTTTGTGTCCTTGTCCCGGTGTTTTCCCCTCTCCATTCCTTACCGTATTCTTATACAACCACTGGCTGCCCCAGGGCTAGATGAAGGTTGGGACAAGAGACAACTCCAGATGAGGTCCCTTGGGAGTTGCACACCAGGTCACCTGGGACTCTGGCTGCCAATGTTGAGCTCAGCCTCCTAGGTGTGTCCCACCCACCTGAAGTAGGGCCAGGATCCAGGAAGCAGGTGCAAAGGGGGCCCCAGGGCTCCCAGCCTCTGGGAAGAGTCAGACTGAGCCTTATAAAGGGATGGTTCTTTGTTTGGACACACATCTCACTCATCCTTCTCCTGCTGACGCTTTCCCAGCTCCGGTGAGTCTCCCTTGTCTCTTTGCCTTTTCAAGGAGAAGTGCCCAGTGCCAACTGCTGTGCTACCTGCTGTGGGCGAGGACGCAGGTGCCTGGGGTCTGGTCACAACTCTGCCACCTGCGGGGCAGTGTGACCTGCACTCTGAGCCTGGGGGTCCTCACCTGCACAACCAGGTGGCTGAGCCAGATCCTGTCCTTTGCTCCCTTTAGGTCTACTAAGACAATACTTACAGAAATGTCCCCAGTGGAAGCTGAGGACAGGATCCTCCCTCTCCTTCTGGATTCTCCTTCCTGTCAGGGTCCAGGCTGTGGAATCCCCTCTCACCTTCCCCGACACAGAGTGCAGGGCTAAAGGTCCCCTGTAAAAGCTTTGGAGGCTCTTAAACCCCAGGCCTAGAACCCTTACTCAGCATACCCTGGTGAGATGACCTGTTCCCACCTGGTGAGGTACTGACCACCCTCCCTTTCTCCTACAACCTAGGAAATTCTCAGTCAGTCTCTGAGCACAGAGCTCAGCTCCTGGCCTCCTCTTAGTGACTTACCAGCCAGGAGCTTCCTCCTGCATTGGGAGGTGATGATGACTTCTTGTCAAATGCAGGAACCAAGGTTGTTTCCTGATGCTTGGAAAGTCTGTGATGTGAGAGCTGCACTGTTCGATTTTTCTGGCTTGGGGTCCAGTCCAGACCAGCCTGACTGTTGGTGGCAGAACCTGCCTCAAGAAGCCAGATACTATCTTTATTTAAACAGAGTCAAGCTTGGTGATTCAGAGGAGACATAATCCACAAGAACAGACATGAAGGGACCACTCCCCTCACTCACATTCCACCCAACAGCTTAAGATCCAGGGATAGCCAATTATTTCTTCTCTCTCTCTCTCTCCTCTCTCTCTCTTTGAGTTAGGGTCTCACTCTGTCACCCAGGCTAGAGTGCAGTGCAGCCTCAAACCTACTGGGTTCTGGAGATCCTTCTGCCTTATCCTCCTAAGTAGCTGGGACTACAGATACACACCACCATGCCTGTCTTGTGATTTATTATAGAGATGAGGTCTTATTGTGTTGCTCAGGCATTGAACTCCTGAGCTCAGGCAGTCCTCTTACCTTGGCCTCTCAAATTGTTGAGATTATAGGCATGAGCCACCACACCCAGCAGGGAAGTTATTTCTGTTCATTTTAACAGAGGCCGATCAATTGTGGTCACCAATCCTTCTTTCTCCCTCCTGAGGATGTACAGGAAGAGTTCCCCATGGTCAGGACAGGACTGTGGTTTCTGTTCACACTCAAGTTCACACTCACATTCATGGCTGGAACCTGCACTCCCCATGTCATACAGGGCTTACATGTGAGTCTTATTGAACCCCCAGAGTGTCGTGGTCCTGAGGCAGCCTAGGAGGGTCAGAGACCAGATCACCAAGGACATAGTCCTGCTCTCATGACTCTCACTCTGAATATGAAGCCGAAGGAGATGGATTTGATGTCATTTGAACAGAGGGGTCTACCAAATTCTGAGTGTGGCTGGGGCCTCACCTCAGAGTCCAGCCCTTTGCTGTGTGGTTGAATCCCTGCTCTCCCTGCTTCTCCATCTTGTGAGCACTGCCCATGTCTGGAGTCTGCTTTTCTCCCACATCTGTGTTGTTCCCTGGCCTGAGTGAGCCCAGGTCCCAGGTGTGGTCCTACCCTTTCCCCTTTGAGTCAATTCCTCCCACCACACAGAGAAACACGAGTTCCTCTGGTCCACCTTAGCCTTGTCCTCATTCACTCCTCCACCCCATCCCATCTTTCTGATTTCAGTCATTTGTCAGAGAAGGAAAGAAAGGTCATTGTCTCTTCCCAGCAGCCTTTCTGAAAGTCAAGATGAGCCTCACTCAGGCTGAGAAGTCCATGATCGGCATGATCGACTTGTTCCACAAATACGCGGGACGTGATGACACCATTGACAAGCCAGGCCTGTTGACGATGATGAAGGAGAATTTCCCCAACTTCCTCAGTGCCTGTGTGAGAGGGGGTCTGCCTGCTCTATGCAGGGAGAGGCTTTATATTTGTGTGGGGGCAATGGGGTAGTGATACTTGAGCAGGTCCTATGGGCTCTGACTTGTCTGAGGACTCGTATCTGGGAGGGGAACTCACTGTGTTTAGTGGGCAATTCTGAGCTTGGTAAGCCTCACCTATCCATCCCTCCCAGCTCCAGGTATAACCATCCCAATGGGGGGGAGAAAGCATGCCAGAAATGGAGCCTGATGCTTAGAGTCAGAAGCGCTGGGCTCTTGTCCTGCTACTGGGGAACTCCTGCTGCATGACTCTATAGGTTACCTACAACTTGATTCTCCATTTCTTTTCCCTGGTGTAACCTCCTGTCTCTGTTAGAGTCACTCCTCTGGGCTTAAGACCCTTGTCAAGATGGAATTCAATGGAAACCACAATATTGGTGACATGAGCATAACCCCTTACGTTTGTTTGGTAGAGCTCTTTCATATACTGGGCTTTAGCTTATGATTAAAATGCATCACATTTATTAGCAAAATATAACAGAGATCTGGGCCCTAAGAAAGGGAACTCAGAACTTAAAAGTTAGGAGGGGAAAGAAGTTGAATGGGAGGAGAGTAGATATACAAGAAAAAGAAAGCGGTCAGCCTGTGCTGGGCTCCGGAGTGGAATGGAGACAGAGCTTGGAAAGGGGGGCAGGTGGTGGGTCAAGGGCTGGTGAAGGCCCCCACTCCCTCCCAGTGTGGTGTCTGGGAGAGCCTGATCTGAATCCCAGTGGTTCCCCTCATAGAGTCGTTCAACTGAGGACTCCCAGGCAACAATCCGGCGGCACTGCTCTCTGCCTTCCACCCACTCCTCTCCCTCTTATCCCCTGGCCATGATCCCACAGGATGCCTCTTTTCCTCTTTTTTCCCAATTCAAATCTCATGTTTAATGGTGTTTTACTTGTATGTTTCTCTCCATACAGGAGAAAAAGGGCACAGATTACCTGGGCAACATGTTTGAGAAAAAGGAAAATAACAAGAGGATTGGGTTTTCTGAGTTTCTCTCCTTGCTGGGGGACATGGCCACAAAATACCACAATCAGAGCCATGGAGCGGAGCCCTGTTCCGGGGGAAGCCTGTGATCCCGCCCACCCCAGAGGCCTCCAGAGACCCCAAGAATAATAAAGTGTCTATTCCCACAAGATATTTGTGTTACTTCCCCCTTTTCTTTGGCTGTGTATATCTTAGAGTGGAAAGTTGTTGGTTAACAGCTTTGTAGATTCTCTGCTAGACACAGAAGTTCTCCCCAGAAAATGTCTATTCCCAGAGTGCTTCCCGAGTGCTGTGGGCCCTGATTGGGTCACCCTTTTTTGTTGACTTACAGATTCACCTGTGCTGTCATGTACATGGAAAAAGGCATCCTACCCAGTTCAGTGAATCTTAGTCAAGGGTGTGAACTAGAACTCTTGTCGGGGGCCTTGCCAGAGGTCAGATGGGCACTTGTGCTTTGCACCACTTTCATAAGTAGGAGGGGCAGCAGCCGCCAGAGTACTAGGCCCCTGTGCTGTGGTTTGTCCTTGCAGCTCTGGCCTTACTCCTGTGTCTGCTTGCTGGGATCAGTGTGAGCAGATATTATTTCCTTTCTTTCAAATGTCATTTCATAAATGCCAGCATCTAGCTAGGCATTGGGAATGTAAAGGATAAAAAAAAGACTCAATTCCTGGGTCAGTGGGGGAGTTTTTCTAGCACATATGAATCTACTAACAAGTCTAGCTGATTCAAGTCCATATTTTTTGGGTGGTCATTAGTGGATGAGGAGCTAATATTCATGTACCAGTTGAAGGGACAGGGAGGAGACAGTGATGCTTATCTCTGAGCCTGGTATTCTGCTAGGCATTGAGGATGCAGACATAAAAATGATGCAATGGGCTGGGTGTGGTAGCTCACACCTGTAATCCCAGCTCATTGGGAGGCAGAGGAGGGAGTGTTGCTTGAGCCCAGGAATTTGAGACCGGCCTGGGCAGCACAGTGAGACCTCATCAATACAAAAAATAAAAAAAATTAGCCGGGCATGGTGGCACAGGCCTACAGTCCTAGCCACTAAGGAGGTTGAAGATTGTCTGAGCCCAGGAGGTCAAGGCTGTGGCGAACTGTGATCGTGCCACTGCGCTCCTGGGTGACAGAGTGAGATCCTGACTCAAAAATAAAAAGATACATTGGTTGCCCCTCCCAAGAAAATGTCCATATTTTTCTGGCTTTTCCATCGACGGTTGCTAATTCCTCCCAGTTTTAAGCCCTTCAAACTTTTCAGGCAGTAGGGTCAGCATTCATTTTTGTCACCAGGGCCATTTTCAGAACACTTCCTTCTTGTTACTCATTCTTCTCTCTAGCCTTTCCCCATCTTTGAGCAGCTCCTACATGCTGCTGTAGGATTATCACACTTTCTTATCAGATTCTTACAGTCTCCTGGTGCACAGAGGACTTGACACATGGCTTAAACCCACCCTTCCTTTTTCACCAGGAGAGTACACATGGGGTGAGTTCACAGTCAGATTTCCTAGAAGTAGAGGCTAAGATGGGGATTCTTGTGCAAGTGATAGTGATTTACTAAGGGAGCACTCTCCGGGGAAGCTTGAAAGGCAGAGAGGGAAACAGCACGGATGGGAAGAGGCTTGACCGTGGCAGGAGCTCAGCTTCAGACTAGCTTCAGTCAGATTCCACAGTGAGCTCTGGAGCATGTGTGGAACCGTAGAATTATCTCGCCTTGAGACAAAGAGGCCCACTGTATCCCTGAATCATTTGTCACTGGCTACAGGCCACCCTAGGGGCCTGGAGTTTCCTTTAGGCAATCCTGGGCCTGGAGTCTCCTTTGGACCAAGGGCCATTCTTAGGAGAAGGGTGCATTTGTGACCTTTCTACAATAAATCAAAAAATTAGCCAGGCGTGGCAGCATGCACCTGTAGTTCTGGCTACTTGGAAGGCTGAGGCGGAAGGATCGCCGGAGCCCAGCAGGTTGATGCTGCAGTGGTCGGGAGTGGCCACTGCACTCCAGTCTGGGTGACAGAGTGAGACTCCAACTCAAAAAAAAAAAAAAAGTAAACAGTCATAGGTTCCTTGGACGAAAACCTTGAGAAATCACTGTTGTATACATTTGCTGTGATATTACTGTTTTCCTTTATGGGGAGCAGGTTTTTCTCTCTCGTTCTTTTTGAGTCAGAGTGTCACTCTCTTGACCAGGCTGGAGGGCAGTGGCATGATTATGGCTCTCTGCAGCCTCCACCTTCGGGGCTCAGATGATCCTTCCACTTCAGCCTTCCAACGAGCTAGGACTACAGGCATGTGACACCACATCTGGCTAATTTTTTTATTTTTTGTAGAGATGAGGTCTTGCTATGTTGCCTAGGCTGGTCTTGAACTCTAGGACTCAGGCAATCCTCTTGTCTTGATTTCCCAAAGTGCTAGGAATACAGGCAAGAGCTACTGTGCCTGGCTGGTTTATCTTTCGCTTTTAAATTTTTTTTTTTATTTTAAAGATGTGGAGTACAATGCAGGATTAGATATATAAGTGGTCATCATACAGTCTCCACTTTGCCTGGTTTGGGATCAGGCATCCTTATTGATGTTATGTGCCTCCCCCCTCCCCTGGCAGTATCCCGCTACTGCCAATCCCTTTCTTATTATGGTAAATGTTCAGGATCCACTTATGAGTACGAACATGTGGTACTCAGTTTACCCAGTTCTTTGTTTCTGCGATAGATCACTGAGTATTATAGACTCTAAATCCATGTAAGTTGCAGTGAAGTTTATAATTTTGTCCTTATTTATGACTGCACAATATTCCATTGTGTATATGTACCACATTTTAAAAATCCAGTCCATTTTTGATGGGCAGCACAGTTGGTTCCATGTTTTTGCTATTGTGAATGGTGCTGCAATAAACATGCGTGGGCAGGTATCTTTTTTGTAGAATGATTTGAGTTCCTCCGGGTATATTCCAAGGAAGGGGATTGCTGGGTCATATGGAAGGTTGATTTTTAAATCTTTTAGAAATTGCCACACTGTTTTCCACAGAAGTTGTACTAATTTACACTCCTACCAACAGTATAGAAGCATTCTCTTTCCCCAGCATCCTCTCCAGCATCTGTTGCTTTTTGAGTTTTTGTTTTTGAGTTGGAGTCTCACTCTGTCACCCAAGCTGGAGTGCAGTGGCATGCTCATGGCCATTGCAGCCTTGACCTACTGGGCTCAGGCAATCCTTCTGCCTCATCCTTCCAAGTAGCTGGAACTACAGACATGTGCCACCATGCCTGGCTAATTTTTTGATTTATTGTAGAGATGAGGTCGTGGCAAGTTACCCAAGCTGGTTGTTTTTTGAGTTATTAGTGATGGCCATCCTGACTGGAGTTAGGTAGCATCACAATGTGGTTTTGATTTGCATTTCTTTGATGATTAGTGAGACTAAGCATTTATTCATGTATCTGTTGGCTGCTCTTTTGACAAGTGTTTATTAATATCTTTTGCCCACTTTTTAAAAAAATTGAGACCCTAAGGGCACTGTGAAGTGAGAAAGTTTGAGAACCCCTGGTCTAGTTGATCATATTCAATAGTAAGCCAACACTACATTTTACTATCCTGGTCCCCAGTGAGTGACACCTGGGTGGACTCCAGTTCAATGCAAACAGTACTGTGTGAAAAGTCCCCCTCAATGGCCCTACGGGCCTGTTGGGTACAGATGTTACAAATATCTTCTCCCAATATGTCATTTATCTGCTAATATTGTCCTCCTTGACCTTTGCTAACTGGAAACTTTTAGTTTGAATATGATAACATCCATCGATTTTTGTCTTGTTGTCCAAGTTATTTGATCTTGCTTAAGAAGTGCTTCCCTAACATCAGTTCACAAATATATGATCCTACATGTCCCATAAAGACATTAGCCTACATTTTATTCCATTGGCAAGGTCTTTGAGTTTTGCATTGTTAAGTTTTCATTGAATTTAGGTGTTTTTTAGCTGAATACATTATATCATAACAGAAATCAGTGAAAATGAATCTATTTGAGGATAAGCACTAGAAGTAAGCTTTTCAGAGAAAGAAAAAACTTTTCATTTAGTAAATATGATAATGAAAAGTATTTGTAAAGTAAGATAAAAAGAGACAAACATCAATCCAGCTCTTTTTTTCTGCTCTCCAGTGAAGCAACATCAGCACATCTCTTCATTCTTTGAGGTTTGCAGCCCCATGCAACATGGATTTTTCTTAAAGTAAAACTTTGTATTTGCAAAACATTCTTAAGAAAATGTGTGTTTATAAGTATGCATTATTTTAAAAATTCAATATGTTTTACTCTGTTGATATAAAAATAGTTGTAGTTTCTGTTTTTTTTAAGTCAGTATCTCACTCTGTCACCCAGGCTGGAGTGCAGTGGCACAATCACAGCTCACTGCTGCCTTGACCTCCTGGGTTCATTGCCCACTTATTAATAGGACTGTTTGTTTTGTTCCTTTCAGCATGTTTGAGTTACATGTATATCCTGGATGTTAGGGTTTTGTCAGATATACAGTTGACAAATATTTTTTCCTGTTCTGTGGGCTGCCTCCCTATTCTCTTGATATTTTCTTTTGCTTTGCAGAAGCTTTTCAGTTTAATAAGGTCCCACTTGTCTATCTTATCTCTTATAATATGGGTTTCTGGGAGTATTGATCAGGAATTGGTTGCCTATTCCAATTTCTGTAAGGGTGTCTCTGTGTTTTCTAAGATTCTTATAGTTTGAGGTTTTACATTTAGGTTTTTGATCCATTTAGAGTTGATTTTTGTGTATGGTTATAAGTAGGAGTCCTGTTTCAATTTTCTGCATGTGGTCAGCCAATTTTCCCAGCACTATTTACTGAATAAGTTCTCCTCTCCCCAGTGGTTGTTGTTGGAGGCTTTATCAAAGATGAATTGGTTGAGAAATTGAGGCTTTGCTTCCAGAATCTCTATTCTATTTCATTGTTCTACATGCCTATTCTTGTAACAGTACCAGACTATTTTGCTTATTATAGCCCTATAATGAAGTTTAAAGTCTGGAAGTGTGATATCTCCTGCTTTGTTTCTTTCGCCGAGTACAGTTTTGGCTATTTGTGGTTGTTTATGTTTCCATATGTATCATTTCCAGGTCTGAGAAGAAAGATGTTGGTAATTTAATGGGTATCACATTGAATC